CATAGTCTGTGATTATGAGTTAATATTCATAGCATACCTTTTCCCCCAGTTGCCGCTGAAGAAGAGCTATCTCCCTGTCCTTGGCCTGCACTAACTCAGTCTCCTGCAGTCAGGAAGACCTCCAGTCACAACACACAACTCCACACACTAGACTAACTCTCTGTCTTATCTCCTGAATCTGCTGCTGCTCTCTCCTGATAGTCTCCTCTGCCCTCATCACCTCTGCCTCCTTTCTCGTCAGCTCTGCTTCCTAAAGTCATGAAAGAATGGAATAAAATGCAGTCATGGTAGCTGCAGTTGATCAATAGCTGAAAAACTATTAACCTTTCTTGTCAAAAACTGTTGGACTCTCTTTTTCTCCCTTTCACTTGTTTGCAGCTGATCTTCCTGTAGTCAAAATGGTAGACCACGACATCATCACCACATCAAGAAAAACTCAACACCAACCTTCTGTATCAAATGCCGCTGAGCCTCATTTAGGTCAGCCTCTTTCCTTGTAAGCCGTTCAATGACAGACAGCTTCTCCCTTTCCTAGAAACGTAGGATACTGGAACTTGCACGTTGTTTCTGCGCATAAACTCTCACCTTCTCTCGCAGTTGCTGAAGTTTTTCAGCTAGCTCCCTGTCCTTGTCTATCACCAGGTCTCGGAGAACACGCTCCAAATTCTGGTAGAATCGCAACAGTTTTTATTAACTCACACGTAATGAGTGTGCAGTTTCTCACCTGGTTCCTGGGCTGGGTCTGAAGAGCTCGTACCAGTTCACGTTTGTTCCTCTCACTCCCTTCATTTCTAACACCAGCTCTGGCCTCCTGCAACAGACGAAGCACCTCACGAATACCTGGCCTCTTGGCTGGGAGATTGTGCAGGCATTGCTGGATCAGCCGAATGAGAGGGTGGTCCCCACGGAGCTGGCCACAGGAATGGAGTTGCTCATTTACATATCGCATGTATTCAGCACGTCGCTGTAGTTCAGTGCGAGCTACTAGCTTTCCACTTTTCTCGTCAAAGTAGTTGTGCTCTAGAGGATCACAGGGGAAGACTTCACCGATTGTGAAAATTGTGACAACTCCAAGCGAAAATACATCGTATTTCGACTTTTCGGTATTCGATCGAGTTGTTGCAAAAGCCTCTGGAGGCATGTAGCCTAAGGCCCCAGGTCCCTTTGTCATGGTGGCTGCAGCTTTCACACGAGGAACTATACGAGCCACGCCCAGGTCCGCTATCTTGGCCACCATCTCCGAGTCCAGGAGAACGTTTCTGGCCGACAAGTCGCGGTGGATGACAGGCGGCGATCGCTTGTGGAGGTAGGCTAGGCCACACGCTACGTTGTGCAGTACGGAGCACTTGAGAGCCATGGAGAAGAAAGATAGCGGTGTGACGGCGCCGGAGGGAGGGGGCGGGTCCGGAGCCAGCAAGTCGTGAAGACTCGTCAGCAGTCGCTCCATGACGAAGGCTGGCAGTCGCGAGCCGGGAAAGAAAGCGACGCCCAGAAACTGGACGATGTTCGGGTGGCGGAGGGTGCTCATAAGCTGGCATTCCCTCACGAACTCGGTCGCGGCCTTAGGCAGTTCGGCGGTCGTTGCATCCTCTTCTTGCAAGAAGGCGTAGATTGTTTTCGCTGCGGCGCCCACAGGAACGACCACTTCTTCCACTTTGCCGTAGGCTCCGCCGCCGATTCTGGTTCCAGTGAGCTGGACGTCGGAGAGAACGAAGGGCCTCAGCCCTGGATGGACGCGGAGAAACTCTTCAGCCATTATTTTTGTGACCGAAAAGTACGAGCCCCACCCTAACATTGTGCGCATGCGCATTACACTTATAGGTGGGTGTGTGGTGCCTGGCTGGTCAACTGAGCAACTTAGCAGCCCTGCTAGACGCAAACACGTGGCATCTGCCGGTTCTTGGATGTCATGGCGGGATGGGTAGCCCCCTTGGTTCGCGCCGCCGACAGATCTGTGACTGTTTCTCACCTTTACCTGCCTGCTCGCCTGAAAACCTGACCATGGATCCTTTAGTTTCTCCATGTATCAAATTGTGTGTAGTGGTTGTGTGTTCCACTTCCTGTAACCCAGGGTAATGAATTTTCAATTCAATGGGTCCTACGTAAGCAAACAGGAAAAATGGCGAACGTCTCAAACTTCGTCTGTTTTATGGACATGAGGTATCGTATCGCTCTACCCTCTGTGCTCCATTTTCTGTGCCTGTGTATATCTCTGTTGTCTCTACCTCGGTCAAACTGCAACACGGTTGTCTCTTCGTCGGGTCACACAAGGCGTCATGAATCACGGCCTCTCGCGGATTGCTGGCCTACATACGAACCTCCCAAGACACGAGTTTGTTGATATTTTATCCCTACAACCGGTTAGTACCCTTAAACTGATAAGAAATGATCTCTTCGCAGAGGCCCAAGCATGTCAAAACACAATTCCTGAAGGGTTGCAGGGGCTACCCCTGGTCTCTCGCAGAGATTCAGCCTTAACTTAAGGCCTGTTGCATCCGTTTTGAGCTAAGACATCTGGTGTATTTCCCAAGCAATTGAGAATAACTCCTCTATCCCAAGGACCTTGTTGAATAATGGAAAATGTAGCAAAAAATATCTAGCTACAGCACCACACCCTGTACAGGAGCAGTGTCCACCTTCGCTCGGAATCTCTAGCTTCCTGGAGAATATGACATCTGAAAAATGCGGCCCCTCTGTTTGCGGTACCTTTATTGGTGCCGCCATCCATGCTGACGATGTCAGAACCTGTGCGACAACAAAACAATCCGTCGCAAAACAAATTTCACCAACTCATCGTGCCTCAATCTCAACACTCAAAAGCTAGAAGTGCTACAAGTTGGTCAAAAGCCGAACACGTCACAATCATTGGAAATCGCTGGCCACATGATACCTCTCTCAGAATCTGTCAAATGTCTCGGAGTGTGGTGGCAATACAATCTATCTGCATCCCGTGCTGTTTCCGAAAACATTTCTAAAGCAAGGAAGGCCTTTTTTGCGTTAGGAAACATGGGAGCTTTTCAGGGAAAACTAAATCCGTTATCAAGCAGCAGCATCTTCGTTACCTGTATATTACCAATACTACTCTACAGGTGCGAGACATGGTTACTAGACACCAGTACCATCACAAATCTCGAACGGTTTCAAACCGAGATTGGCCGGAGAATTCTCCAACTGCCAAAACACTTCTCCGGAAAAACCGTCGACTAGCTCTCCAGTGGCCCTCAATGTCAACTAGAGTGCTGATTCGCAAACTGAATTTCCTCTGCCATTTATTGTCTAACTCCAACAATGGTGAGCTGATCAGCAAAGAAATATTCGTATCACTGGCTTCAGTGGACGTATACAGCATTTCAATCATACAACAGTGCCGTATGCTGGAATCGTCCCTCGGCACAAGCGTTCTTGCAAGGTGCCTAAATGAACCAAGTGAAGCCTCATCCATAGTAACCGAGAACAAATCGAATCTGATCAGTAAGGATTTCCAACTACTCATAGAACATTCTCTCTTGCACAAAACTGCCAAGCTGGTTGCTACAGTGGCACAGACTACATCCTGGTGCCGACTCTGGGATATCGCACTGGATAGAGGAGTGAAAGGTACTCGTGGCCTGCAGGCACTGCTGAGAGAACTGAGCCGGCCCATCTTCAACAACTCAGTTTGCAATCTGTGCAATGAGAGCCTGGATCAAAACTCCCTTTGGTTCGAGCACTTATGCTGCCTACATCCAGATATTGTAAACAACAGGTCACTATCTCAAGTTATATCAAGTCTTCACAAGCTGGATCATGAGGCAATCTTTGCAGTTGCTAACTCTAATCTTAGTAAATTAATGTTCACTGTTCTATCAGGCTACTTCATAGCCTTTTTTATTGGATGTCATCACCCTTCCTCGGTATTTATTATGCATTATGCTCCTCGGGTCCTGCAAAATGAAGTTTGAACTTTTATATAGAGCATGCTTGAACTGGCCCCACCCATTTTCCTTGAGCTTTTGTTGTGCAAGAACCAGCAAGAAGACTGACACGACGGGTCAGTCTGGTAAGAAATCTCTTCCAATCTTCCGCCTATTTTCACTGCCTTCCCTGAAAGGCTTTTGAACGTACACTGCTGGTATCCGAGTGACAGTTTATGATCGCCGCCGTCTGAGGACGTGAACCAGGAGCGGAGCGGGCAATTGACTGGTGACCGTTTCTCTCTTTCCATACCTACCAATCATCCAGCTTTTTGCTTGATAATCAAGCAAAAGTAGCTACTGCCTATCCCACCAGAAAATCACCAAATCCCTCTTTTTTGTGCTAACCTGTGATGCATTATGCCCATACATTGTGAATGGACATGCAGCATTTTCAAGCAAAATACTCTAAATCAAGCAAATTTGACACATTTCTCAAGCAAAAGTTTATCTGCAGGTTGGTAGGTATGTCTTTCTCGCGAGAGACTTCAAAATTCCCGGTCATAATAGTAGCCGTAGCAGATCCTCGGCGGGAGTGAGTTTTGTCTTGGTGAGTTTAGACGTCCGGGGATCTCAGTTAGTGGATCAACTATAATAATTCACCACCTACACGCAATGGTTATGTAACTATTACGCAATTGCTACGCATCCAATACGCAAAGTTCTTTTCTTTTTTTAAAATAAAATTAGTTTAGCACAGAAGCAAGGAATACATGTAAGTAGCACTCAATTGCTAATACGAGACATGATTCCCATGAGAATAAGGATGACATTTGAACAGAGAAAAAGAGGACTCAGAACATAGAGTACTATCAAGACTGTTCCACAGTCTAATAGTTGCAGGAGCAAACGAGTGGTACATGGAGTTAGTACGGGAGAAAGGATGGTGTAGAGAAAAAGGATGAGAAGGATAGGAACGAGAGGTGCAATAAGAAAAAAACATCAAGGTCAAAAAACACAAGCTGTTCACAGGAGACAACACCTCTCTACGTTTCTCAAGAGACAGAAAACCAGCTTCATCCAGCAGATCAATGTAACTGAGATCCCAACACTTTGAAACCAGTGGCAGAGCAAATTTTTGGACCTTTTCTAAAAGTAATTTATCACTCTGTGAGGAAGGAGACCAAATTGCAGCAGCATAATATTCCAGGTGAGGTCGAACCAGTGACTTGTAAAGCTGCAAGAGCATTGTGTCTGGAAGATGTTGGTAGTAGTTCCGCTAAAGAAGGCCAATCGTCTTCTTGGCCTTCATACTTATTCCACCGTTTTTATGTCTTTTTTTAGGTGTGGGCTCCATACTTCACACGCATATAATTATACTCCAGGTGTGGACAAACAAGAGTGCTACGTATATAGGTTGAACAGTGTGGCCGGGTCAGTGTCGCCCTGAAACTGCCTGTAAAGAAGCCCAACCAGCTTCCTGGCTTTGGAACACTTGGCATGTATGTGGTCTGACCAAGAGAGATCTGAGGTGATTTGGACTCCGAGATACTTGTATGTATATACTCTCTCTAAGATGTTGTTGCCAAGTTGTAGATGAAGATGAGGTAGTGGTATGTGTTTTCTGGATATTACCATTTGCTTACATTTTGCTGGGTTGAAAGCCAAGCAATTTGTTGATGACCAGTTATATATTAGATTCACGTCATTCTGCAAGGCATTGTAGTCATGTGGGGAGTGAATACCTTTGTATAACAACACATCATCAGCGTAGAGTACCATCTTTGTTCCATGGGAAAGTTGAAGATGTGACAGGCTGTCTATATACAGAAGAAACAGTAGAGGACCCAAGACCGAACCTTGCGGAACCCCTGATATAACTGGAGTTGATTGGGAGATTTCCCCTCCAACTACCACTCTCTGGTGACGTCCAGACAAATAGTTGCATATCCATCTAATAAGAGCCGAGTTGAGTTGAAGTGATTTCAGCTTGGAGATCAGCTTGCGGTGTGGGACAGAGTCAAAAGCTTTCCTAAAGTCAAAGAAAACAGTACAGGTCTCTATTCCAGAGTCCAAACTTTGCATCCACTAAGCAGTGCTAATGTTGTACTCCTTCTGGCTCGGAAGCCCCATTGGTTGACTGCTAGCGGGCGAGTCAGGGACAGGTGCTCGGTGATTAGGCAATGTACATGGCGCTCAAATACTTTGCTGAGAATGGATAACAATGATATTGGTCGGTAGTTTGAGGGACTAGCACAGTCCTCTGATTTGGTATTCACTTTCTCATTGCTCTTTCCAATTCAGTAGACAATCAAGGGAGTTTTTTTCCTCAAGGAAAGTGTCATTCTTGGAATAACCTTTTCCATGATGCTGAGAAACATACGTTGCCAGTTCATCCACGCAATATTTATGACAACTGATAAAAGAACATTCCAGTCACAGGCACAGATAAGCTGACCTGCTCTCTCCCAATCAGCTTCAGAGTATTTCCAAACTGAACGACGAGGGCAATGCTTAACACTACCAGGTGTAGACTTCCACTGCATCTCCAGCTCAATGCCAAGGTGATCAGAATGGAGAGAGGGGGAATGACTTTACAAAAAGAAAGACACAGCGGATTAGATACAAAGACCAAATCAATAAGAGAATTAAGGTTACCGCTACATAAATCAAAAGCACTGAAGTGCAAACCCTCGGCGTACTGTGACGCGCACGCGTAAGTAAACGCATGCGCCGTACTACTAATTGATGGGCTGGGTTTAGTTTTAGCTGTTACTCGTGGTCTCTTCCCAGCTCGCGCAGAGTCTGACGCGGGCTAACTACACTACTAGATAGCATGCGAGAGGCGATACACGCCCTGCGTTGCATCTTCTGGTGCCTCCGAGGTACGCAGAGCACGCGGATCGATCAGACCGTGGTAAGCCGTCCCGTCCGTTGTATTTGCATATTGGCTTTTTCGCGCTCTAGCTTTGCAACGGAGCAGTTTTCAGAGAAAACCCTCACATATTTCTGACCTTCATTGCCCGTTCAGTAGGTGGTATCCTTTGTGAGACGAACGAACACTCGAGAAGTGAGATGACGAGTAACAGACAGACACACACACACCAGACAGACAGACAAACCCAATGAAAAGCACTAAAGTGCAAACCCTCGGCGAACTGGGCACGCTAATTGATGGGCTGGGCTGCTATTAGTATGTAGTATACTCCCGCTAGTAGCGTCTGACACGGGCTAGCTACAGTAGTAGATAGCATGAACAAAATACACCATGTGATGCCAAGAGAAAAAAGATGCGGAGCTCTGGACAGCTGTTTCAGGCTTGTTGGTCCTCATCAGCAGAGCATACCACAACTTATCTATAGCATGTGGGAGTCGATACACGCCCTTAGTTGTGACTTCTCGTGCCGTCAAGATACACAGAGCAAGCGGACCTGAGCCTGTTGAAAATATAAGCGCATGCGCATTTTCCGCAGCGATTAAAATGGCCGACTAGCATTAGCCGTACAATGGCGGAAGCGCTCTAGCTTTGCAACGAAGCATTTTCAGAGAAAACCGTTCGAAATTTCTGACCTTCATTGCCCGTTAGGTAGGTCGTATCGTTTGCGAGACGAACAGACATTCGAGAAGTGAGATTGAGAGTAACAGACAGACACACACACACACAGACAGACCCAAGTACTGTAACCCTCGCTGCGCATGCGCGCCGAGGGTTAACTACCGTAACCCTCGCTGCGCATGCGCGCCGAGGGTTAATGAGTAGGTTGATTAACAGTCTGAGTTAAACCAAAAAGAGACCAAAAAAACCACAGTAAGCATTAAACATAGAATGAAAGAGCATTGTTGCCGTTGCTGGGACCATCGCACAATAGATCACTGTTTGTCATGGCTTCATCTGATAATGTGACAGTGCCAGAGATACTGGACACCTTGTCAGACACAGCTGCTGCAATTGTTGAGATGATTGTAGAAGAGGAACCCTTGTCGAAAACAGAGGCTGCACTTGTGGAGATGCCTGGAGAGATAGGGGAAAGATCATCATCCACATAGCTAAACATATCTTCCAATCTCCAAGCAGTGTGGAAAGAGATCCTGTTCCAAGCCTCCACCAGGGCATCAATATCACTCTTGTCACCCCTCACAACAAACCACCACCTTCCCACCGAACCATTTGCATTCACCTTGTACCGTTTTTTGACTGAGAGACGATCAGCAAGCGACTCAGATGTACTTCTCTTGACAACATTGGGTGCGGGAGTGAACACGGAGCCAGGGACGGTGAAGCCCCAGTGGACATGGCAGAGGTTCTGAGTCAGTCGACTGCGCTGAGTGTGTCCTGGTGGAGCCACAATACGCTCTAGGGAGGTCATACGATCGCAATGTTCATCACCAGTTGCCTTTGCTTTACATAGCTTTGTAAGTGCAAATTCTTGCATTAGTGGCCCCAAAATTCCACCTGTACCTCAGTGGCATGCTACGCATGAACTAAACCTCTGGAAAAACTGTATCTCCACTCTCTCTTCTTGATACAGTCCTGACAGATGGTCTCCATATCCACCTCCAGATCATCTCCATGAATGATGTCCACTCTACCACCGCTGGCCTCTCGTACCAACTGCCAACCAACAATGAAGACCACAGTAGATTAGACTGTCCACAGCTGGGAAACCAAGCCAGCTATATAGAGAGTGATGTTTCGTTAGATGAACAACTCTTAACCCTCGCTGCGCATGCGTGCCGAGGGTTAATGAAGTGGAATCTCAGTTTTTAGCAGAGATCCCGAGATCTCGGAGGCTAGTATGGAACCAGGCCGTTTTTTCGTTTCAAAGTAGTGGGTGAAAGATGCAAAACAGCATGTTGTGCATGTTGTGTATGTAATTACTCCTGACAGTAGCCATCTACAAGCATGCATGGCCTTTTACCTCCATATTACTTCTGTACATTTCCGACTTAGGGAGGTTCACACTGGGCTAACCCCTCAATTAATCTATGTTATAATATATGCACCGTTTCTTCAGCCAAGACTGATCAGGTCGAGCAGATCACAGTGTATGGCTCCACTGTATTGCTGGGAGCTGGGGGGTCGACTGTACTCGTTACCTCACTCTCCATGGTGGCTGACCTCATTGGACCCACTGTGGTATGTATGCTGTCTTTATGCACAATCAAGGTTTTAGCATGAAGCCTGAGTGAAAGAGCCAATAGTGGTAATGAGCAATTGTTTACCCTGACAGGGTTTTGATCCACTGGAACACCATAGAGGCACAAATGTTTTTCATGGTGTTTATCCGGTCTAGCATTACCCTATGAGCACTATGCAGCAAGCCTGTGAGAAACTGCCTTCGACCAATGTCCAGCTCATAGGTTACTGTACTGGGTGCATGCATATTGTGCGTATATCTAGGACACGAGCATTGTCTGTGCGCTTAGGGTTTGCACTTCAGTGCTTTTTCACAAACTTCTGCTAAGTTACATTTGCCGTTGTCAGTGCTCAAGAGCCTTGCCTATCCCTCATGTAGTATTTCTATATCCATGGGGAGTCCGTGATTGGCCATTAACATTGTTCTGACAGGGAAGTGGTGCCTTTGTCTATGGTCTGATGAGCTTCACAGACAAGGTATCCAACGGAGTGGCCGTGCAGGTTGTTCAAGCTCTCCACCCCTGCAAGTCCACTAATCCGTGAGTTTAAAATGAGGGCTTTGGTTTCTTGGTGCACATCTCCCAGCCGGTGTTTTCTCTTTGTCTAGATGAGCTGACCATTACACATGTCTTCTAGCGTGTTTATTCTTAGGACAGTGTCATTGTGCACATTTTGTGTTCAATTTCACTGAGTATACACATCAAGCTAGACCCTCTCTCCTGTTTCGCTGTGTTTCCACGTTGCGCAATTCCGTGTGTAGCTTGAGTTCAAATAGTTGGTAACAGCAAGAACGGGACCTGGACATGGCCCCTCTGCGCTATATAATTTTGGGGTAAATGCAGCAGTTACATGAGGCTAGGGTATAGTGTATTTAATTTTGATCCCAAGAGCACCCGTATTGAATGCCTCATTCTGATTCTGACACTAGGAGCCATGTTTGTTGCTCTGCATGTGCCAAGTTCTATCGGATAGTGTTGTCGGCGGTACCAGGAGGAGCAACCCTGTGTGCACTCATCTGCCTGGCCATACTCACTCTCTACGTCTACCGCCGCACCAGGCAGCTGAGAGGTACATGTAGTACCTCACCTCCTATATCTGTAGAGTGTATGTTTTATTCTCCTTCCCTTATGTATAAGGTGCAGGATATTAATTTGTGGAGTTTGTGTTGTGCTCACGATAGCACTGTGAATCTTCATTACAATTTACACCAGAGAACAGCAGTGTTAGTAGTGGGCGAAGGGTAGTAGCCACATTCAGTCTCAAAAAAGAACATTGTAGCATGTGGGGAGCTACCCAGCCTTCCACGTTACTTCACTTTACTTCACTTCCTTTTCTCAACTCACTCTTTCCCAAGTCTGATAAATCTCCATGTGCTTGGTGATTATGGGTTAGTTCAGAGGCTAAGTCATTGTGTAACATGCATCCAAGAAATCTGTTAGAATGGAAATTCACAAAAGAGTGGTTCCGTCAGTCTTCACTGGCACAAAACATTCATTCAATTCACACAACGTTTCGGTCCCTGAGGACCTTCTTCAGGTATACAGTCTTTTGACAAAAACAGAAAAGTATGACAATGACAGGATGGCAACGGAATGCTGACCAAAAATGCAATGAAGGACAATAGATGGTGATGGAGGTGATTACTAATCCAGGTTTAGTCCACACGGTACGGTAGTATATATTTAGTATATAGGGATGACACAGGTTGTCCTGCATTATGCCCATACATTTGAGATTTTCGGGTTTCATTTTCTATTTCAATCAGATCCAACTTTTGACACATCAGACTAATTTGTATCGTCACAAAGAGCATGTATCCAAGAAATAGCTTAAATCGCATAATCGGTGCTTGATTTATTCAAAAAAGTCACTTTTCAATTTTCTTCTTCTTGTTGTTGTTGTTGTTGTTCAGTTTCAACAAGCGTATCTCAAAAACCAGGTGAGATATGGAGATCAAACTTTTTCACAAAGGTTGGAATCCATGACAGGTCGTGCAAGAGCATTTTATTTCTTCGTAAACAATTTTGTTTACATGTAAATAACAACAAGTAGACCCAGGTAATACATTATTATAGAGACAAATAAAGTGTGCTAACTGGGTAAAGCTAATACCCAGAGTGATAAAACTTTGTACACACATGCAACCCATCATTAGTATCAAAATGTAAACATTTTCAATTTTCTTCTTCTTGTTGTTGTTGTTGTTGTTCAGTTTCAACAAGCGTATCTCAAAAACCAGGTGAGATATGGAGATCAAACTTTTTCACAAAGGTTGGAATCCATGACAGGTCGTGCAAGAGCATTTTATTTCTTCGTAAACAATTTTGTTTACATGTAAATAACAACAAGTAGACCCAGGTAATACATTATTATAGAGACAAATAAAGTGTGCTAACTGGGTAAAGCTAATACCCAGAGTGATAAAACTTTGTACACACATGCAACCCATCATTAGTATCAAAATGTAAACATTACAAGTTTGTAAACAACAACAAACAGCCTCAGGCAATAAAAACTTGTAAACTATATTATTGCCTATAACTTACTTATGGTGGGACTTCTAACAATGAAAATTGGTACACTGATGTTCCATGATAAGAGTTCATCGAAACAGAAATTACAAGTTAGTAAACAACAACAAACAGCCTCAGACAATAAATTCTTGTAAATGATGTTTGTGCCTGTAACTTGCTTATTGTGGGTCCTCTAACAATGAAACTTGGTACACTGATTTACTATGATAAGAGTTCATTGAAACATGATTTACAAGTTTGTAAACAACAACAAACAGCCTCAGGCAATTAACAATCTGTTTTTCCTATAACTTTGTACACTTATCTACTTTGGAACCGAAATTAAAATGTAGATGACGACTAAGAGTCCGAGGCAATAAATACATGTTACTTTTTATATGGACATTATGCCCCAATGCCGTAAAAAAAGGAAAGGAGACAAGTAACTAAATCTTCTCCACACAAGCCCTATATTGTCACCACTTTTCTCACAATATGAATTTGTTTAGTGTGAGGACAATGGTGAGGCTGAGACACATAGATCCACTCGTGCATAAGAAACGAGTCATAGCTGCACATCATACAATAGAGATCACTCGTGCTAGCAAGAGATTTTAATGACAGTGCATTTAGCCGGCACTCTTTAGTCGAGTCCCCTCTCTCAAGCATATTAAGACCAGTCTGTAAAGGGATTCTCTGGCGGGCCATGAACACAGCATTGTAAAACTCATCGTTAGTTGAGCAAACACTGAAGTCTTAGACTGCACACAATGCAGTCACAACCAAAAACTGAGGAGCTGTCAGAGAGGGCAACACCTGTGCATCACGTGCTTAGGAAATGAGTCATTCTATGAGGGAGCACAGTCATGCTTTGCGACAATATAGAGCTTGTGTGGAGGAAGATTTACACGAGCAAGCAATGTCAGTTTGAAAAGGTAACCATCATCCCACTGTACTAATGCATCACATACACTAGGTCATCCCTGTCTTGTCTCCTTGCTTTTTATGGCATCCCTATATTCCACACTTTTTAAATTCGCAGAATTTTTTATTTACTTGTAGAACTGTGCCTGGCTTATTATAGCCGTGTTACACACCAAACAAAACCATGCCTGAGTTCTTTTCAGTAGCTACCCTTCCTTTCTCTATTCACATTTCACAAGACACCCTCTTCTTACCCTTTTTCACCTCCCACACCTTAATCCCCTTGTTTTAACCTATTCCTTCCCCTCCCCCCTCCCCCTCCCTCCTCCCCCTCCCTCCAGATGTGGCCCCGGCCTGTGCAGAGGATGGTCCGTGTTTCTCGCCATCTGCCCACAACAAGAGCCTCCAGTCTGAAGGCAACAGCTCTCTCAGTGTCACTGCCAGCATGAACACTCGCTACAGGGACGTAGAAGATGAAACTAAGCCACATCTTATCCCAGTTCTCACCCTGCGCTTGCAGTAATAGCACATGTACAACACTTGACCTGAAGGACCCTATTACCAACAAGCAACAGTATTTAGATGTGATGTGTTTCCCTGTGCTCTTCCCAACTGGGAAGTCTGGAGAGTTCCACCCTAGGAAAGAGAAGATTTCTCCTAGTGAGTACGTCAAATCTAGGCTGCTTAACAAGGACTCGCGTTTCCGTAAAGATGCACAATATGTGTTTTACCTTTTGTGGCGGAAGGAAATGCGACAACTCGCATCAGGTGTTTACAATTTGTTAAAGAGTACCAGGAGACAGACCATGTCTGTTAGCTTGTTACTAGAGCAGGTGAACACCGCAGACGAGCAGCTAGAAGCACGTTTGTGCACCATGCTCCAGTCAGTCCGTGGTACCAAACAGTTCTGGTTCCTCAGACACAGTGAGCTCAAGTGCATGATAAGAGAGTGGGGCTCGCCTACCCTTTTCCTCACCTTTAGCTGTGCTGAGTATGAGTCCCCTGATATCACTGAGTTTCTTAGGAAAGTGAACAATGTTCCTCCCAGTTACAACATTGGGAAGCTGTGTGTTGAGGACCCAATCTCAGTTTCGAGGAAATTTTCCCTCAAATTCCATGCCTTTTTCCGAAAGGTCATTTTGAAAGGTCAGGTCCTGGGTGTTGTAGACCACTTTTATTGGAAGAAGGAGTATCAGAATCGTGGGGCTCCTCATTACCATGTCTTACTCTGGATTAGAGATGCACCACTCATTGATAGAGACGATCCCGAGAAGGTGCTAGACTGGATCCAGGATAGAATCACCTGCCACATCCCTGATGAACAGGGTAGCCCTGAGCTGCACAGACTAGTCACCAGGTACCAGATGCACAAGTGCAGCAAGTACTGTAAGAGGCGGAAAAGGTGTGGAAAGACAGCATTCATCACCAGGCCAGTGTGTGAGACTGCTCAGCTCAACCCCGTCCAGGAGAGCCTGAAATCCCGTAACCGAATTTACCAGTTGGTCCGTACTCTGCCTGAAACAAGGGTGAATGACTATAACCCACTGTTATTGATGCTGTGGAAGGCTAATATAGACATTCAGTTTGTAGCTGAAGCCTCTCTAGCTCTTGCTCACTATGTCAATGGCTATGTTACCAAGGCTGAGCGTAGCAACATGCAAGACATCTGGCAGGAAGTTAGTGACACTAAGAGTATTTACAGTCGCCTTTTTCAGCTTTGGTGTTAGAAGTTTACGGTTCAGAGAGTGTGGTCTGTATGAGGCCAGTGATCTACTGCTGGGAGACCACCTCACTGAGAAGTCTGACACAGTCAAGTGGGTAGACGTCTCCATGCCACACAAGAGATCCCGTAGACTGAAGAACCACAAAGTCTTACAAGAAATGGCTAGGCTGAACCCAGATAGTCAGAACATATTTGAGGATAATGTCCTAGATGCATTCTATCCTCAGAGACCAGTTGCCCTTGAGAGCGTTTGTGTGTATGACTTTGTGGCCAATTATGAGTTTCAGGGTATAGACACCAATGGTCAGAGAGTGTACAAGAAACTTAGCAAGCCTAAACTCCCTAACCACAAGATCTTTGACCCTGAAAATGAGAACCAGAAACAAGATTATTTCTACTCCCTAGTGTTACTGTTCTCTCCATTTAGAGATGAGAGTAGTTTACTGCAGGGTAATGAGACAGCTGAGCAGGCATTTCATAGACTACTCACTAGCCAGAGCTCAAGCTACCACTCGAAGCTGAGGACAATGTTGGCAGCAGCATTAAATGTAAAGAGCATTAATGAAGCACGTCAGGCCAATATGGAAGAAAAAGAAGCCAAAGAAGACAATGAGCCTCAGCTGCTAGGCGAAGCTAGAACAGCCATGACTGAAGTTCTAGACATGAAAGCCAGTACCCCTGGTCAGCTTACCCTAAATGAGAGAGTGTCCATGCTGAATCAGGACCAGAAGAGAGTCTTTGAGAACGTCAAGGCTCACTTCCTGCACCAAAAGTGTCACGAGGCAAAACAGTGTTCGTGTGATTTTGCACCTCTTAGATTGTTTGTTAGTGGTGTGGGTGGTACTGGTAAATCGTTTCTCATTGAGGCCATCAAGGCCCTAGTGAACAGTCTGTGGAATAGTGAAGGCCTCCTCTGTGGTATTGCAGCACCAACTGGGCTTGCTGCATTCAATGTCGGAGGTATCACTATGCACAGACTCTTCCAACTCCCCTGTTGAGCATGCTACCAAAGCCACTAGCTATTGGCCACTGCCCAAAACATCCCAGAAGATCATGAGAGCAACTCTCTCTGAAGTCAAGTTGTTTATTATAGATGAGATTTCAATGGTTTCCAGTATCAACCTGGCTTTTGTACACATGAGGCTAGAGGAGTTGTTTGGTAGCAGTGAGTGGTTTGGGTCTCGGAACATGCTGTTTGTAGGTGACCTCCTCCAACTCCCTCCTGTCCATGGGAATCCTGTTTTTGAGAAGGTTGCCACTAAATCAATCCTGTCCCAACTAGGGTGTGCAGCTGCCATCATATTTGGAGAGATTGTGTTACGTATGATGAGTTGACTATCAATGAACGTCAGAAAAGTGATCCACAGTTTTCCTCCATGTTGGACTGTGTGAGACGTGGTTGTCCAACCAAGGAAACTGTGAGTCTGTTGAAACAGAGGGTCATACAGGTGTCTGTCTCAGACAAGTTTTCTGAGCTAAAACAGTCTGGCAAGGCACCTGTTTGCTTTTTTCCCAAGAGGAAAGCGTGTGATGACCTAAATGCACAAATGTTCCGCAAGAATGCTTCCGAAGTGCATGACATTTATTGTACTGATGAGATTGACGAAACAGCAGGCAATAGGAAGATGTGTATTGTAGACAATTCCCTCTCATTTTAGCCTATGCAATTACCATCCACAAGTGTCAGGGTCTGTCATTAGACTGTGCCATAGTAGACCTGTCTGAGGAGGTATTCAGTGATGGAATGGCATATGTGGCTCTATCCAGGGTTAGGTCACTAGATGGTCTGTTCCTAACAGCCTTTGATCCCCAGTCCATCAGTGTTAGTGTGAGTTCCCTGGGGGAAGTAAACCGCCTCAGAAAAACCCATAGACCTGATCTTCCTCTGTATGATATACCACACATCTCTAAAAGAAAGAGGAAGCTCACTGGTGTAGACAAAACTGTTTCCCCAAGTGTAAAAAAGGTCAAGGTGAATCCCTCATCTGCAAGGGATAATGAGGACTGTGTTATTACAGGTACAGAAACACCTGCTGCTAGTCCTTTCAATTTCCACTCTGTAGATGTACAGTGGCAGCAAAGTGCATGCCAAGAGCTGGGCCTCCAATATTGTACACAAACACCAGTAAGACCAGGAGGACCTGCTGTCCCCCTCACACGTCCAGACATGCGTAGTGTGAGACGCGTACAAGGAGATGGTAACTGCCTCTTTCGAGCATTTTCTTACATTCTGACAGGGTCTGCAGATCAGCATATTGGTGTACGCCATGTTATCATTGACCACATGACAAATAATGCCCAATATTTCCTAGGCCACCATCTCGTAGGCTATGACAGTCTTCAAAGTTATATAGCTTCCACAGGTATGGACCAAGATGGCACCTGGAGAACTGACATTGAGATGCTGTCTTTGGCACACCTGCTCCAGACCCCTGTCTTCTCATACAGCCAGCAGCATGGGCAGTGGCAGCGGTACTCTCCTCATGATGTCGACAGACAACTGATGGATGACATTCACCAGAGGTCCATGTATCTATTGCACACAGGAAACCACTTTAATGTTGTTGGTTCTATAAGGAGAGTTAAAGAAGCCACATGTGCTCATATAGACTATACATGGGCTCTCTGAGCATGTTGGGGAAGGAGAGGGTGGGTCCCTGCAATTTATTGAGGTGGCTTCCCCATTTCATGCTATAACCACTGTAGAAAGTGCGATTTACATGTCCTGTACATGACTTCTGAACATGTTGGGGAAGAAGAGGGTGGGTCCCTGCAATTTATTGAGGTGGCTTCCCCATTTCATGTTCTAACCACCCTCCTAAAGTCTCAGACTTCATGGAGCTGACTGGTTTCAAGTGTAGGGAAACTGCACTGTCTTTACCACAAAGTTTTAGGGGACTGTAACTGCATCACAAAGTTGGGGTAGCACACTCTTAGAGGTGAATGTCTGTACACTGACAATTGTGTTGTATGCCAGCAGTAGTGAGTAATCCCTCAGGAGACTGGTCTTAGCTCTGACAGAATATTATCCTCCTCCCTTGAGGAGTGCACTCTACAGTCAGTAGCTATGCCTGTCGGGGTACTACTACATTGAAGCTACACACTACTCACCTAAACATCAGTGCACATAACTATTGTATGCAGTATATCAGCACCCTTCCTACATGCACCTATTCTGAATAAGGTGGTTACTATTTATAGGCTCCTCTTTTCTTACAACTACATATATTACAAGTAAATAAAAAATCCTGCGGATAAAAAAAAGAGTGCATATAGGGATCGTATAAAAAGAAAGGGAGACAAGATAGGGATTGTGTTTGTGGAAGCACAGAGATGCTAGCGAGGAGTTAGGACTCCCACAGGTCATTACAACAGCCCTATATTGTCGTATCGGTGCTTTACTACTTCCTCGTGAATATATCAGCCAACCTTGCATACTTGAATTTTGTTTTCTTGCGTTACACAATTTTCCCATGTTTCCATGTATAAACATGTATATCCAATGTTATGGTCAGCTGATTACACTTCCACCTAAATGCGCACTCCATGGAATGTAGCATGACAAATCTATCAAAGGTAATTAGTAAGTACTTCATACCTATAGCAATATTCTACAGACTCTCATCACTCCCCTACTCCCACCCCTACGCAGAAGATTGAAAACTTTCCCTATCATAGCCCATACATCTATGATGCGAGGTATCCCCCGTACGACGATATAGGGCTGTTGTAATACCTGTGGGAGTCCTAACTCCTCGCTAGCATCTCTGTGCTTCCACAAACACAATCCCTATCGTGTCTCCCTTTCTTTTTATAACGATCCCTATATGCACTCTTTTTTTATCCGCAGGATTTTTATTTACTTGTCTCCACTCATTTTTACGTATTATCGCTGTGGAAGGGGGCAAGCCCCTATAAAAATAATAATAGCAGAAACAATTGTCGTCATGGAAAGAAATTCATACCATCCATGTGTGCTGCCATTAGCAAGTTTGACGAGTGAAGAAGTAATTATAAAGAAAGTGCTGAGGCTATTTGTTGTTGTGGTCGTCATGGAAACGATGTAATACACATGCGCACCAAGTTTCACCTCCATGCGTGCTATAGTTAGCGAGTTTGAGGAGTGAAGAAGTAATTTTAAATAAAAGTGCCTGAGGTTATTTGTTGTTGTGGTCGTCATGGAAACGATGTAATACACATGCGCACCAAGTTTCACACCTCCATGCGTGCTACAATTAGCAAGTTCGAGGAGTGAAGAGTAATTTAAAGAAAATTGCCTGAGGCCTTTTCGAACAATATGCGGTCGTCATGGAAACATGTAATCGTCATGGAATGATATAATAGGCATACGTACCAAGTGTCATCTCTATGCGTGCTACCATTGGAAGTTTGAGAAGTGAAGAGTTAATTTAAAGAAAAGTAAAAGTGCCTGAGGCTATTTGTTGTTATTTACAAACATGTATTGTTGGGATTTTGATGTTGGCTATTGAATACATTGTGTATACAAACTTTCGCTCGCATAACTCTTACCAACTGTGAGTTACACTGACACATGTAGTATGCCCATTATAACGTATTGCCCATTATAATGTATTGCCTGGGGCAATGTTGTTGTTGTTTACAGTAAACAACATTGTTTACAAACAAAAAAGTATGAGAGTCCCATGTGGGTTATCGATATGTACATTCCTACAAAATTTCATGGCTTTATGTCTTTCGGTTTTTGAGTTACGCTGGTCGAAGAAGAAGAAGAAGAAGAAGAAGATGAACAAAACTCCCTATCATAGCCCCATACATCTATGATGTTAGGTACCATGTCAATCCCTATATACTAAGTACTTAGTGATCTGGTTTTCCCCTGGGAAGCTTTCTACCTCTGCAGGTCTTTAAAGGCTGTGATCTTCTGTCTAAGGGGCACTGGCGTCTCAACCATAGCTGACCTGTCAGAGGAAGGTACTCAGCTTATCAGGGGCCTTAGCAGGTGGGGCTCTGAAGTGTTTTCCCCAGCCCTTATCACCATGCTGACTTTACACACCCTGTGCCCTTATCACCACTGCTGACATAGCTATTGTAAAACCCTATCCTAGCCTTCTATACTATAATTTGGGTTGCATTCCTCACTCTTTTATTGGTGCATACCATCTTTATGTTCTAAGGTGCTGTGCACTTGTCAGACCTGGACCCTACAAACTTCTACTACACATCCACTACGCTCTTTGGCCTCCACCTTTGACTTCAGCTGGGTAGACCTCTTCAAAAGAGTGAACTCCTTGCACAACAAATCACATTCATTATGTTGATGTCTCACTTGCGCATGCGCCCGCTACGCGCGAGAGGCGCGCGCAAGTGCGTAAAAATTGCAACGTCACCCGGCCGCTGGTAGGGGAGCCCGCGCGCCGTGCGTGCGTACAGTGCAGTGTGTGCCGCAGCAGCCCCTCCCCCTCGCTCTGCAGCCCGAAAAGGGTGGGGCTGAGTATGCGCAAAAAAATAACTGGAACAAGTGGAAAAATCATTTCTTCAAAATGAAGGGGGATGTAGGGATGGTGTAAATTATGAAAAAGGATGCCAACAAGAAGATGCTTCAGCCGACAACAAAAATCGTACATCCATCCCTACATCTTTCTTTACAGTCACAACCTCTACTGTGATAATTATGTTGTGAATAATGTATCTTACATACTCTATGACAAGTAACCACACATTTTTTATACAGAGCAAAAGAAAGAAAGATGTAGGGATGGATGTACGATTTTTGTTGTCGGCTGAAGCATCTTCTTGTTGGCATCCTTTTTCATAATTTACACCATCCCTACATCCCCCTTCATTTTGAAGAAATGATTTTTCCACTTGTTAAATTACAAGTGTGACAACTGTGGGATGGTTTATATTGGTAGATCCCCCAGCCCTGACTTTGAAAAAGCTTCAGGCAATTTTCTTTAAAACTACTTCTTCACTCCTTAAACTTGCTAACTGTAGCACGCATGAAGGTGAAACTTGGTGCGCATGTGTATTACATCGTTTCCATGACGACCACAACAACAAATAGCCTCAGGCACTTTTCTTTAAAATTACTTCTTCACTTCTGAAACTCGCTAACGGTACCACGCATGGAGATGAAACTTGGTACGCATGTGTGTAACATCATTTCCATGACGACAACAACAACAAATAGCCTCAGGCACTTTTCTTTCTTCACTCCTCAAACTTGCTAGCACACATGGAGATGAAATTTGGTACTATTTGGTACGCATATCATTTCCATGACGACAACAGGCATTTTTTTCTCTATTATTAATATTTATAGGGATAAAGAGATAATACGTAGTAGTATAATATAAAAATGAGTGGAGACAAGTAAATGAAAAATCCTGCGAACTTAAAACACGAAGCATATAGAGATGGTATAAAAAGAAAGGGAGACAAGATAGGGATGGGATGCATGAAGCTTGGTTAATGAACACATTTGAGCACACTGACACCCCCAACCCAATCACACAATCCCTATATTGTTGCCTAGGTGAAATATTAAACATTCACCATTACAATACTCAGAACTTACAATACACTACTGAGTAACCAACACCCATATAGAGTCCAAGTGGAGTTTATTTAAAGCGAATGTGGTAGTTTATAAGAAGAAATGTTACTAAAAACAACAGGGACACGGACAAGAATGCTTGCTTTTAGTAACCTTTAGCCTTATTATTATAATGCCACATTCCCTATAAGAGTAGCACACCAGGCAACAGTATAGGGATTGTGTGATGGGGTTGGGGGTGTCAGTGTGCTCAAAATGTATTCATTAACCAAGCTTCATGTATCCCATCCCTATCTTGTCTCCCTTTCTTTTTATACCATCCCTATATGCCTCTTTTTTTAAATTCGCAGGATTTTTAATTTACTTGTATTGTACGGATGGGCATAGTACCTAGCATCATAGATGTATGGAGTTATGATAGGGAGTTTTGTTCATCATCATCTTCTTCTTCTTCTTCCTGTTCAACCATCATAACTCAAAAACCGAAAGAGATAAAGCCATGAAATTTTGTAGGAATGTACATATCGATAACCACATGTCCAACGTCATAATTTTTTGTTTGTAAACAACAACAAAAGTGCCCCAGGCAATACATTATAATGGGCATACTGCATGTGTCAGTGTAACTCGCAATTGGTATAAGAGCTATGTGAACGAAAGTTTGTATACATAATGTATTCAATAGCCAACATCAAAATCACAACAATACATGTTTGTAAATAACAACAAATAGCCTCAGGCACTTTTCATTTCATTTACTTCTCCACTTCTCAAACTTTCCAATGTTAGCACGCATAGAGATGAAACTTGGTATGTATGCCTACTATATCATTTCTATGGCGATTACATGTTTCCATGACAACCGCATATTGTTTGAAAAGCCTCAAGCAATTTTCTCTAAACTACTTCTTCACTCCTCATATTTGCTAACTGTATCACGCATGGAGGTGAAACTTGGTGCACATGTGTATTACATCATTTCCATGACGACCACAACAACAAATAGCCTAAGGCACTTATTGCCGAGTGCGGTAGCATGAGGCAACTACTCCGGGTTGTATTCTCGCGATTGTGTACGTACGTACGTCCGTTTGTGTCGGTCACGCTTAAGAATATCAATTAGTCACGCTCAGGGAATGTTAATTAGTCACGCTTAGGAATGTCAATTAGTCACCATAAGGGAGTGTAACTTCCGTCATTCGTAGGAAGTCTAGCTTCCACCGTGCGCGCAGATTCGTAGGTCTGGCTTCGCGCGCAGTCAGGAGCGCGCTAGCACGAGCGGCCTCAGTCGGCAGGCGCGAGGCAAAATATGCGCATGCGCATTCCTAGTCTTTAAAATTACTCCTCAAACTTGCTGACATAGCACGCATGGAGGTGAAATAGGGTGCGCATGTGTATCACATCATTTCCATGACAACTACAACAACAAATAGCCTCAGGCACTTCTCTTTAAAATTACTTCTTCACTCCTCAAACTTGCTGACTGTAGCACGCATGGAGGTGAAACTTGGTGCGCATGTGTATTACATCATTTCCATGACAACTGCAGCAACAAATAGCCTCAGGCACTCTTGCTTAAAACTACTTCTTCACTCCTCAGACTTGCTAACTGTATATATATAGCACGCATGGAGGTGAAACTTGGTACACATGCGTATTACATCATTTCTATGACAACTCTATGACGACTATATACATATTGTTCAAATAGCTTCAGGCACTTCTCCTCACACCTGGTAACGGTAGCACGCATGGAGATGAAACTTGGTATGCATGCGTGTTACATCATTTCCATGACAACTTCATGTTTCCATGACGACCACATTGTTTGAACAACATCAAATAGCTTCAGGCACTCTTCACTCCTCAAACTTGCTAACGGTAGCACTCATGGAGATGAAACTTGGTACGAATGCGTATCGATATCATTTCCATGACAACCACATATTATTTGAAAAACTACAAATAGCCTCTTCACTCTTCAAACTTGCTAACGGCAGCGCACATGAAACTTGGTACGCATGCATATTACATCATTTCCATGACGACAAGAGGCACTTTTCTCTATTATTAATTTTTATAGGGGCTTGCCCCCTTCCACAGAGATAATACGTAGTAGTATATAAAAATGAGTGGAGACAAGTAAATAAAAAATCCTGCGAAATTAAAAAAAGAGGCATATAGGGATGGTAAGAAAGGGAGACAAGATAGGGATGGACACGAAGCATGGTTAATGAACAGATTTGAGCATACTGACACCCCAACCCCATCCCCATCATACAATCCCTATATTGTTGTCTAGATGAAGTATTAAACATTAAAAGTGCAAATGGAGTGGCACACCAGGCAACATTATAGGGATTGTGTGATGGGGATGGGGATGGGGATGGGGTGTCAGTGTGCACAAATCTGTTCATTAACCATGCTTGGTGTCCATCCCTATCTTGTCTCCCTTTCTTTTTATCAAGTGTGACCACTGTGGGATGGTTTATATTGGTAGATTCTCCTGCCTGATACACTACTAGCCTTCAAAACAAGACTGACTTACAAGTGTGACCACTGTGGGATGGTTGATATTGGTAGATCCTCCTGCCCTGATAGCTGAGTTAAAACCCACACAACCCCTTGCAAGTGTGACCATTGTGTGGGATGGTTTATTTTAGTACATCCCTCTGTCCTGCCTTCCAACATTTAGATATGACACCCACACATGCATTCATGCACTGTATAAAAGCACCAGACCTAGACAGAGGATATGCAACAGACCTTTATTGCTCTATCGTCTTTGGCTCAATGATGCAGTGCTACATTGCTGGTTCCATTATTGGCCTCATTCTTTTGACAAGTGGGATTAAAGCTCAATTTGATTCGGGAGCAGGGGATATTTTTAGTTTGCAAGTTACTCAGGTAATTACCAAGCAACTTGTATATAGCTATGTGATAAATGAGTATGTCTCCTTCTCTATAGGATGTGTGGCTTGAAAGAGATTTAAGAAACTACAACAACTATCAGCACCTTATTGTTGGTACTCACCCTCGCTATCCTCTTAAACGATCTCTGTTACAGTTTGAAGATCTTCCGTCTACTTGTAGGCATATTCGCTGGGCCAAAATGTATGTGTATTTCGCATATGCACACAAACCAAGCTTTCTGTCGGTGACACAAGTACCATACATTTCTCGACCACTGCAAGTACATCAGGTATTGTAAAAACCTACGCTTTACAAAATACATTGAGCTTCTGTTAATGCAGGTGAGGCAGAACTGGTCTGAATCTGAAGCTACCTCAACCTTTCGTGTCTCTGGTCAGCGATGGAACAGCCATGGCTCGCTCTGGATGGTAGTGATGCTGATCCCAATGGCCTTCTGTGTTATCCTGTTACTATCTACACCAGCAGGTACACAAACTCTTTCATTACTGTGAGGCAATTTGTATCACCTCAATGTTTTTGTTGTCTCAGGCCTGCAGGTTTCATTGAATTTGATATCACTGAAGCATTGCGCAACTGGCAAAGTGGAGATCCCAACTATGGTGTTCTACTACTGGCAACAAACGAGAATACCCTTGGAAGAGGCATCAGATTCTATAGTAATGCTAGTGGGAACTCACGACAGCATGCATTTGTCCATGTGCTCTGTGACTAGAGAGCAGCCTGTTTGCTATATAATTATGAACACGATTATCTTTGGTGTATAGGTATATACTATTGATTATGTTGGCAGCATAAAAATGAAAAGCACAAGTGCAAACCATCGGCGCGCTGCGCGGTACTGTTAACTCTGACTCTGAGCTGTGCCAACACAGTTTCAAGTCACTGAGCAGTGCAGCAGCCACGGCACTGGCACAGGCAGTGCAGGGAAGGCACAGAAGACACCTCAAGAGCTCGTTAATTATTGCTGCAAAACCAGCTTTACTTGGAAGCGTGCCAGAATGGCTCAAGAGCGCGCGCCGCCAGGGAAATGCGCGCGCCGCCGTGGTCACACCGCACTGCAAAGTGATCTTACGCCGCCTGGAGTAAAACTGGCCTCCTCTCTCTGTGCTAGCAAACACCAACCGCATCCACGTGTACTGAACTAACTGCCTCCGCCCCTTTGTTGCGCCTTAGAGCGCTTGCAGTATTATGATGAATATTCATGACCATGCGGCAGTTATTGCGCAGTGGCCACACGCGTGGTCATGCATCATCGATATATCTGGATGGCGCGCGTGTATGGCAAGCGAAGTGTAACAAAACTAAATGGCACGTTCAAGACGCGTAAACGTACGTTGGAGACACATACGTACGTCTAAAACGTACGTTCATACGTTGAATTTATTTATTATTATAATTTTTTTTGAGAAGTAAACGATACAATAGACAAGCAAAAAAAAAAGAGCAAAAACAAAGAACAAACAAACAAATAGACAAAATACAACAACAAAAACAACAACAACAACAACAACAACAACAAAAACAAAAAAAACGCTAAATAATACTGTCAATGTGCGGGGGAGGCGTTGGGCAACGGTGAAGCCACAGAGTTGCATTTCCTCTCCAGAGGCAAATAGCGCACCGTTGGAAGAGGTGACGGGTGGTTTCGGAGGGAGGTAAGCCCAGCCGCTGCCCTAGGAGCCGACCGATACTGGAGAGGGTTTTGGCAGCGAGATCACTCCAGCCTCCGAGAGACTCGACCAGGAGAGGGACAAACGACACTCCCACAGCCCGGCATGAGGCTGCGTGAAGGGCCATCTTCCTCTCTTCTCCTACTCTCAATGCGTGCCCTTGGACACTGGCTTCAAACGTACGTTCGAGACGCGTTCATACGTACGTCTGTGGGTCAGTCACATGCTAAACATCACGCCGTATGTGACTATCATGTGAGAGAGTATCATAAGCTCAGAACCAGAATCTGGCTCAGAACATGGTTGGGGTCAGTTTGTTTTTTGATGAAATTCGTCACTTGATTGAAGAAGCTGAGAGACAATATGGTTTAGCTAATCGTAACTACACCGAGTATGTAGTGGTACATTTTGAGTACACGATAACTGTGTGCTCTGATTTTTGCGATCACCTACGCGGAGTTCCGGGATTATATGACTATTTTCGCTCTGGACTATCGTGAGCTTCTTTCACGCTATTAGCTTCAGAGTAACAAAATGACACAGGCCTCCTCCTTCCTTCGAAGTACATATCACTTCACGAGCCATACTCTATTCTCAACTGCGCTGTACGATAATGCGCATGCGCATAATGGATACGCGTATGGTATGGACCGGACGTACGTACCATCAGTATGAACGTACGTTTGAAACGTACGTCCGTCCGTATGGCAAGCGAAGTATAACCAAACTAAATGGCACGTTCAAGACACGTAAACGTACGTTGGAGACACATACGTACGTCCCGTTGGAGACACACATACGTACGTACTAGAATAATGTTCAACATTGTTGGCGAGCGGGAGCGATTTCGGATAAAAAGAAGCGCGTACAAAGACGCGCATGCGCACTTACACGACGTACGGTCGTAGATATATTATATTATATAGAAAAATCGCGCCGTTCGGACCACTAGGTTAGCTCGCTTCCGCTCGCCAATAAAACGTACGTTCATACGGACGTAGGTACTTTTCAAACGTACGTTCGATACGCGTTCATCATACGTACGTCTGTGGGTCAGTCACGTGCTAAACATCACGCCGTATGTGACTATCATGTGAGAGAGTATCATAAGCTCAGTATATACATGGCTGAGGCATACGGGGTCAGTTTGTTTTTTGATGAAATTCGTCACTTTATTGAAGAAGCTGAGAGACAATATTATGGTTTAGCTAATCGTAACTACACCGAGTATGTAGTGGAACGTTTTGAGTACACGATAACTGTGTGCTCTGATTTTTGCGATCACCTACGCGGAGTTCCGGGATTGGATGACTATTTTCGCTCTGGACTATCGTGAGCTTCTTTCACGCTATTAGCTTCAGAGTAACAAAATTACACAGGCCTCCTCCTTCCTTCGAAGTGGCATATCACTTCACGAGCCAGCAGGGCGCTTGGAACTCTCAGCCTCCAGTGCCTTCTGTAACTAAGTGTGCACATTCCAACTGGCTAGCTTGCTGTTGATTTGCAGGAGGAGAAACTTGGCAGAGTCTGCGCAGTGTTACGCGAGTCTTGCGGGGCGTCCAAATGGGCCTTCATTGTTTGTCCCCCCAGGTTGTAGCCTGATTACCAAAGCCTGCCAATGAAAACACAACCATGTGCAAGAAATGACATGAGGTGAATGCAGTATCTAGCCCCCTGCTTCAGACACTAGCCGCCCATAAGCTACTGTTTTCAACAGTTACAGTTTGTCTATGGTAGCCTATCTACAACATACCCATGAACATCAGAGTGACTGTAACAATAAATGCAGTGTTGTGATAAGCTGTGGAAACAAGTGGAAAAATCATTTCTTCAAAATGAAGGGGGATATGGGGATGGCTTGAAGTACCAAAAAGGAGGAAACAAGGGGTCATTACACAGCAAAGTTGCACAAAGCTACATGATACCATCCCTATATCTTTGTTTTATTGTTTATAAGCAAAGTTATGACTCGTTTCCTATGCATGTAAGACTGGTAGCTATATAGCAAATGCCCTCTCTGACAGGTCCTCAGTTTTGAATAGTGACTGTATTTACTTCAATGTTCGCTCAACTAACCAGTTTTACAATGCTGCTTTCTCTACAGAATTCGTTTGCCAGTCTTCACACTACATCATTCAAAACTCATGTCATGAGTAAGAGTGGCGACAATTGTGTGGAGTAAAATTTACACGAGCAAGAACTGTCAGTTTGAAGATGTAACCATCATCCATTGTACTAATGCACTAGGTCATCCCTGTCTTGTCTCCTTGCTTTTTATGCCATCCATATATTCCACACTTTTTTAATTTGCAGAATTTTTTTATTTACTTGTTCAAACTATTATCCAGGCAAATGCATCACAACTGTGCACTATCTATGGAAGAGCTACAGAAGGTATAGGCAGCAGGGCATGTGCAACAGAATCAACACTCTGGTGTGCCGTGGTCCTTCAAACGGTTTGGAAATTCTGGTTTTGATGGGAAAAATTAAGTTCAGTGTATTGCTGCTAAGCCTTGGGAGACTGAATAAAATAATGTTTGCAGAAACACATGTTTGCTCAAGATTGTTGTTAGCTGTGTACAGAACTAAGGTGTTGCATATAGCTGCCTAGAGCTCTAAGTGGAGTCACATTTCTCAGTCTGGGAGTAGTTAGTGATTTTTAACTTCATGACCCAGCAGTAGCCGAAAACCGCAGATTACATTAACCTTTATGCCAATGCTGAATTTAAACCTTTCAAGTGTGAACCACTGTGTGGGATGGGGTATTTTCGTAGACCCCCCAATCCCGTCTTCAAACAAGCAGATATCACGCCCACACATGCATTCATGCACTGTATAAAAGCAGCGGGGCTAGGCAGAGGGCATGCAACAGACCTTCCATGCTCTATCTTCTTTGGCTAGAAGATGTCAATGATGCAGTGCTACATTGCTGGTTCCGTTATTGCCCTCATTCTTTTTGCAGTGGGACACATTTCTCAGTCTGGGAGTAGTTAGTGATTTTTAACTTCATGACCCAGCAGTAGCCAAAAGCCGCAGATTACACTGCCATAGATACCTGTCCCTGTGTACATCCTGCTTCAGTTTGAGAGAGGCCAGATAACAAGAACTGCAATTTAATACTGTCTCTCAAGCCCACACAGCCACCCACACAACCTCTTTCATGTATGGACCCTGTGTAAGTTGGAGTATTTGGGTAGATCCCTCCCTGCCCTGATACTACAAGTAAGTAAACTACAAGCGGACCTCAGACCCACACATGCACTCATCCACTGTATAAAAGCAGCAGGGCTAGGCAGAGGGTATGCAACAGACTTTTAATAATCTATGGTCTTTGGCTAGAAGATGTCAATGATGCAGTGCTACATTGCTGGTTCCGTTATTGCCCTTATTCTTTTTGCAAGCAGGATTGAAGCTCTTGGACCATTTGATACTGGAGCTGGGAATACTTACAAATTGCAAGTTACCCAGGTAATTCAAGCAAATGAAAGTATATGGTAATTAAGTATGTCTCTTTCTCTATAGGATGTGTGCCTTGAAAGGGGATCTAGGAACTACAATTACCTTCAGTACCTTATTGTTGGTACTCACCCTTACTATCCTCTTAAACGATCTCTGTTACAGTTTGAAGATCTTCCGTCTACTTGTACACACGTTGACTGGGCCAAACTGTATGTGTATTTCGCATATGCACACAAACCAAGCTTTCTGTCGGTGACACAAGTACCATACATTTCTCGACCACTGCAAGTATATCAGGTATTGTAAAAACCTACGCTTTACAAAATACATTGAGCTTCTGTTAATGCAGGTGAGGCAGAACTGGTCTGAATCTGAAGCTACCTCAACCTTTCGTGTCTCTGGTCAGCGATGGAATCAGCCATGGCTCGCTCTGGATGGCAGTGATGCTGATCCCAATGGCCTTCTCTGTTATCCTGTTACTATCTACACCAGCAGGTACACAAACTCTTTCATTAGTGTGAGGCAATATGTATCACGTGCACCTCAATGTTTTGTTGTGTCAGGCCTGCAGGTTTCATAGAATTTGATATCACTGAAGCATTGCGCAACTGGCAAAGTGGAGATCCCAACTATGGTGTTCTACTACTGGCAACGAATGAGAATGCTCTGGGAAGAGGCATCAGATTCTATAGTAATGCTAGGGGGAACTCACAACAGCATGCATTTGTGAATGTACTCTGTGACTAGAGAGCAGCCTGTTTGCTATATTATGTAAACTCGCTTGGCCGTTGCAGGCGGATCTCGCTCGCTATCAACCAAACAGTCTATAACGTACATTAGCCTCTAAGTACAAAGTACAGTATTACATCATAAAACAGAATACACGCATGCGCATAGTAAGTCAACAGTAAGTCAATGGTAGTTCTCCGTTACATCACCCCTCTCCTTCAGGGAGGCTCGTCCTCGAGCATCATGTGGAGGGTCATCAGGCGGGTGGGTGGAGCAGTTTTGGTCCGAAGGCCACTCCGTCGCTGCGACCTTGCAGATCCGGTTTCTTCACTGGAGGTGGGGGTGCTAGTATTCTTCTTTCTGTTGCAAGTCCCGTTCTGGATGTTACACCCACGATCTCTCGAGGCATTAGCGTCTTCATCCTGGTCCCAATCTCTAGCGTGGGTGTTACTGCTGGTTAACTCATCTCGTTCGTCTGGTAGAACATCGGTGTCTTTGGCAGTTGAGTCCTGCTGCTCTTCTCTGTCCTGGTCATCTGGTTCAGGATTGTCCACTTCTGTGTTGAACTGGCTTCCACATTCGGTACCAGCGGAGCTCTCCAGCTCGTGAGCTGTGGTAGAAGGTGTTCCTTGTAGTAACTTGTCAACCCATCTGGGAGGGCGACCTGGGCTGGAATGGCGACTACCATACCAGTAGAATCCCGCTGGTAGTTCAGGGGGACACCTAACAACTCTGGATTGGTGTACCTGGATCTGTCCGTCCTGAGGGGCGTAAACCTTCACGACCGTGATGTCTGGGTCACGTTTGTCGATTACACGGTAGGGTCCATGCCATGGTCGTGATAGTTTCCGCAGTCTGCCGGTTTCATCCTGAGGAAATCGTACGAGAACCCAGTCTCCTATCTGGTAATCCACAATATTATCATGACTGTGGCGGTCGTAGGACGCCTTGTATTTGGTCTGCACTGCTTGGATTGCTTCGGCAGCAAGTCTGCGAGCCGCAGAGAGCGAGAGTACCATCTCTTCTTGGTAATCTGACACTTCGGTCGGTTCAATGGTGTGAGCAGGTAAGAGCGCAGCTTCTGTTGGAGTACGGCAGTCAACTCCGTACAAAAGAAACGATGGTTTTTCACCAGTCGAGTCGTGCGGGAGATTGCGATAGGCCCAGAGGGCTCCTGAGAGGTATCTATCCCACTGGGTGTTGAATTCCGCTGCGTACTTCCTCAACATTGTCTTCAAAGTTCTATTAAAGCGTTCCATCATCCCGTCGCATTGAGGGTGGTGCGAGGTTGTGTTTAGCTTCTTGATTCCTAATAGACGGCACACATCGGTCATCAGGTGTGACAACAGGTTCGTTCCTCGGTCTGAGAGAAGAGATTCTGGAACTCCAAATTTAGGAATAACCTCGTTTACTAGCAGCTCAGCAATACGAAGAGACTTCTGGTCGGGCATGGGGTAGACCATCGGCCACTTAGTAAGAAAATCCTGGAACAAGAGTACATAGCGGTTCCCCTGCTCCGTGGTGGGGAGTTCCATAACATCAACTCCAATGATCTGAAACGTGCTACTCGCGGGAATGGGATGGAGAGGTGGTCGATGTTGCCGACTTCCACCAGTGACAACAGCACATTGAGGACATCTTGAAGAGAATTGGACGGTGTCATGGTGCATTCCATCCCACCACCAATAACGTGTGAGGGCTGCGTACATCTTCTTTGCGGCGAAGTGTCCACCAGTTAGCCCAGAGTGATGTTCTGTGAGAATTTGTTCTCGAAGATGACAAGGGACGACAACTCGGAGTCGATGTTCCTGTTTTGAGTCAGCATAGTAGAGTATGCCTTCCTTCAAGACGAAGAGTGATTTCTGGAGGGTAATTACTCTGGCTTGTTTTTCTTCCAGTGGAAGTTCTCCAGTCTCCAGAAAGGTGCAACCTCGGGATCTCTTCTCTGTTCCTCGGCAAAACATATTGCGGCAGTGGTTGGCCCGGGGGATTGCACCAAAAGATCTTCTATAGTGTCATCCTCATGATTTCTAGACTTCTCTGTAGGAGCCTTAGGTGTTGATGACTTTACTGCAGACACTTGAGTTTCATCCTCTCCTTCACCCAGAGGCGGTGGTCCAGAATGGGGGCTACGAGAGAGGGCATCCGCTGTTGCATTCAGTCTCCCGGGTCGGTACACAATACGAACATCCTTGAGTCCGGTACCATACACACGAGTCCACCAGCGTGCATGCTTGGCTGAAGGATTCGGAGTTTCAAGCACAGCTTTAACCGCAGTGTGGTCAGTGACGACAGTAAACAGACTGGCCGTAGAGGTACGGTGGAATCTGGTAAGGGCCCAGACTACTGCTAAGGCTTCCAACTCCGTGATACCATAGTTTCGTTCTGCATCCGTCACGATCGGCTGCATAGGCTCCTGTGGTGTATTGGAGTCATCCTGTAGTTGTTGTAAGACTGCTCCGAGCGTTGATGCAGGCATCAGTCTCTATGGTGAACGGTTTGTCAAATGAGGGGTAAGCGAGAACCGGGGCACTAGTGAGCTTTTCCTTCATTGATTCTTTACATGCTTCGGTCCAGTTGAACACAGTGTTTCTTGCGAGTCATTCTCGTAGAGGTGCAGCTATCTCGCGGAATCCATCATGAAACGTCGATAGTACGAGGCAAGAACAGGAAACGTCTCACTCGTTGACATCAGTGGGTGTGGGAAAACATGTTGACTGCCTCTACTAGTCTCTGATTAGTCTTCAACCCCATTCGGAGTTACCAAATGTCCGAGATACTCCACTCACTGCGGGCGAAGTGGCACTTGGTTGGCTTGTGCTCAGTCCTGCTCTTCAATTCTCTGGATCACTGCTCGCAGGTGCTCAAGGTGCTCCGTTACGGTGTCGCGAAAATGAGCAATCATCGATGTAGACGGAACAAAGTCTGGCCCTGCCTATGGGTTGAGGCCAGACAAAACATCTGCATCAGCCTGCTGAAAGACTGTGGGGCGTTAGTCAAGCCAATGGCATGACCAGAAACTCGTACAGCCTTGAGGCGTGACGAATGCTGTCTTCTCTCTAGAGTCGGTGGTGACTTTTATCTGCCAATAGCCAGATGCAAGGTCGAGAGTGGAGAGACGTACTTGCAAGCCCATTGATCGAGTAGATCATCTATTCGTGGTAACGGGTAGTGTCCGGCTTGGTTACGGCATTCAGGTGGGGCGGTAGTCCACACAAAAGCGATGACTACCATCTTTCTTCCTAACCATGACAACGGGGCTCGCCCAGGGGCTGCTCGATGGTTGGATCACATGTGCTTCCTGCATACTCTTCAGCTGTCGTGCAACTTCTTCTCTACAGCGAACGGCATCCGTCGCGGTGCACATCGGCGAGGATCGGAGCTCCTGTCTCGATATTGAACTCGACGAGATCTGTCTCCCCACGCTCATGTTCCTCCAGTGCAAAGGCTGCGTGATGCTGTCCCAGGAAGTCGATCAGCTCCTGTTGCTGTTCTGAACTCAGTGTATCAGTTGGTCCAACTGACTTGGCTAGCTTCTTCTTTCTCCAACTGTCAGGTTTGGAGTGCAGACGTGACACACTTGCCCGTTCGGTGGTCGGCTGTGATGGTGAACTTGGTCCAAGCTTTGAGTCGGGTTCTGGCAGCTGGAGTCCTCCTGGTGCAGGCTCCACCGGTTCCACTGGCACGGCAACTCCAAGTGAACTCCCTTCGTCGACAGTCACGGAGCATCCAGTGTGGTTGGATAGGACTGTGAGGGCTCTTCCGTCTTCGTCAATGTTGATGAGAGGTGTGTCCACGCCAACTCCACAGCTCAGCTCAGTACCGTCTAGAAGTAGTGGTTGTCGGATATCCTCCCGATAGTCAGGGCTCACTTCCACAACTTGGCTCTGATGTGGTAGGAGATGAACAGACTGGATGAGATTCACTCGAACGGCCGGAACCTTAGCCTCAGTCGTGGCCGAGGGTTCGGTCGATCCTGGTGTCTCAGTGCTGGAGCTAGATGACGAGGAGTCGTGGGTCTCTGGGTTGCTGGCTGCAGAAGGAGGGTTCTCTGACTCTTGCGGAGTAGAAGATGTGGCTGGGTTCTTCTGTGCTCTCTTGCTGCGTCCTCTCCACTGCTCAACGTTGGGGTGGAAAGTAACCACTCCGAGCTGGCGACACTCTCCTTCCGAGAGAAGTAACTGGTCGGCCGCATCCATCTTGATGTATATGGGGGTGCGCATAGTCCTTCCATCGAAAGTGATCTCAAGATCCATGCGTCCATCCAATTTGAAGGTCTTCTGGTCGTAAGTCCTCGGGATCTTGTCTGCCTTCTTGAAATGACGCTTCTTCAAATGTGCAACAGTGGCAACTCTCTTGAAGAGCTTTCCCCCAATTATGGTGATGTCTGCAACCCGTATCAATTAGGCCGTAGGCAGGCACGCCCTGCACTTCAACTTTGACACATTGACTGTGACTACCTCCATCTTGCACACGAACCAGGCGAGCGTTGGCTCCTCCATCATCATCTGAGTCAGAATAGAGTAGGCTCTCGGGCGTCAACGTGTCTGGTGGCTTTGAGTGGCTTCTTGATCCTGGCTGAGGACTTGGTTCGTCCATGTCTTTGTCTGCTGACCGGTCTTACTAGAGTTCGATCTCGCTTTCCTGCTTCTTTTGATGACAATTCCGTGCCATATGGCCAGGTTTCCCACAATTGTAGCAGATCACCTGGGTCTCTGACGGTGTGCTAGGCGCCGTTCGCTCCTGGGCGCTCGGCGAAGTAGTCTCTTGGTTCGATCTGCGAGACTGAGTTGGTCCAGCATCGTTTTCTTGAGACGATTCAAAGGCTCACTAGACGGCTTCAGCTGATAGCGCTGTTGGAGTGCAGCTAAACGATGTTCTTCTCCCTTGGCTGCTACACACAGCTCTCGGTAACTCTGTGCTCCTGAGACTGCAGGTCCCTTCATTAGGTGTACCCGCAGACCGTCATACATTTGGCCAGTACAGTAGAGCATCTCTGACTGCTGGATTGAGGAGCCTTACCGTATGCCAACTGATAGGCCTTCTCAAGGCGT